GGTTTTAAATTGGCCCGCTGGGCCAAAAAGGATGAAAGTACTTAATTTTTTTAAGTTGTCGGACTAAACTTAAAAAGTCAAATTGAAGGCTTGAAGCGGACCAAAATGAAGAAGGTATAAACAGGACCATTTGTCTAATTTTCCTCAAGGGGATGTATACTTTGGCACGTGTCGTCCCAAGTATAAAAGTTGGCGTAGTAGATATGAGACAATTTCTTTCTTTTTAACCACGGCAAGGGTTTTAGAAATTGGCAGTGGCCATATTTTGAGTTTAGGGTTTTGCGGAGGAGCAGAGAAGAAAGGGGAAAACAAATATGGACTCATTCTCGTCGCCTTCAAGTGGACCATCTCCGAGTTTCTCCGCCGATGATATTAAGGACCGGCTTAGACTTCAGCTTGCTCAGGCTCACGCTGAAGAATTTCTCGAGGTATCAATTGCTATTTTCCAAGAAAAGATAAAAACTGAATTTTTTGTTTGAGAGATTGTTCGATATTTGTTGTGAAATGAATTGGATACTCAACAAGAACTTGTATCAACTGCCTCATGCTTGTCAGCTTGTGTTAATTAACTTCTAGTCATTCTGTTCGGAGTTACTTATAGATGAATATTGCTTGAATATTTACTTACAGATGTTGTGATTGATGTAATTGAAATATGTGCTGCGTGGGTTTTGATTCGGAATATGTCTGCCAAAGTATGTATTTCGGTCTGTGTCTCCGAAAAATAAGTTCGTTGGCATATGTGATATGAATTGAAGTTTTATGTGCCTTTTCATCCTTGTCGACTAAGTGAGCGAATAAGATTTTCCCCCCTAACTGACAACTTTGAACAAAATAATAATTTAGTTTATGTGGGAACAGTTGGGTGAGCCCCTCTTAAACCGGTTTAATAATGTGTGGAAAACATTTATTTAGTGTGACACCATAGAGTTGGTTTTGTATGGCAGTAGGTCGATGAGATCGGTGTCAATGTGATAGGGAACTTGAGCATGAACAGGTCCCTTTTGTTTTTCAACCAGGAATTTTCATTCTGATAACAATTTGTGGGTTTTAAGTTTCTTTAAAAGTATTAAAATAGCTTAGAAAGGTTGGAGCAAAATTCCTTGAATTGCTCATATCCTTTGACCAGGATATAACAAAAAAAGGTAAGTGGTCGTTATGTTAGGTTTTGATCAAGAATGTGGAAGTGATAGCTGCAATTCAGGATTCAAACTTATTCTCCAATAATCGCCGAATTTGTGTATGAGTTAGTAACTGATTTGAATTTGGTAAGTAAAAGATTTTATTTTTTTTTTTCTTGTGTAAGACACAAAGTGATTCTAGTACTCATGTTATTTTACCAAATGTGCACATGACCCAAGATTGAATACTATAGAGTCTAAGAACAGTGTGGTTTTGTTTCTGTGTTTGATTTATTTTCTGCAAGAGTAGCTTGCTTCCTGTTATCCAAGAATGAAAGCTCATTTATATGGAAGTGACAATTTAGCACCTGGATATTTGCTACGATATCATTAAACATATACACACACACACATGTAGTGGATCAAAAAGTGTTATGAGTCATTCTTAATGTACGTACTAGGAACCCTGCTAAAATACATTGAAGATACTCCTACTTTAGCAACATACAATATTTACTTTTAGCAGTGTCATCATTACATATACAATAACAGTAAGTGTAATAATTTAAGCTTTGTATTTGATCCATTGCTCTATATATATATATATATATATGTGTGTGTGTGTGTGTGTGTGTGTGTGTGTGTGTGTGTGTGTGTGTGTGTGTGTGCAGTCATCAGAAGTGCTATTTCAACAAAGAAAACCATCATTTTTCGCCATAACCGACTTTAAGCAAATTTAGTTCATTCATTAGATATCTGTCTTGGTCCCAGCAAAAAATGGCTTGATCTGAAAACCGTCTTCATTTTCTGATTTACATTGTTCCATGAGCATGTTTGCAATCCAAGTGTTGCGTTTTCTTTCACTGTTCAGCACAGTTTGCCTGTGTATTCAAGTCAGCTTTATCCATCATCATTTCTTTTTTCTTCTGTTTCTTTTTATATCTGAATTTATATGGACATGCTGGTTTCTTAAAATGGGCACTGCAGAATGAGCTAGTCTGGGGGTCTGGGTAAGAGGATATTAAATTAGCTTCTTTGAGGAATAACGTATATAGTGCACGGGTGGGTGGGTGTGTAGGGTAACTTATGTTTGCAGTACGTATGGTGTTTATGTTTTTTAAATAATGAGCTTCTGATTATTGCTTGGGATATTGTGTGTGATGGCCATGCAGACTGTGAGAGAAAAGTGCTTTGACAAATGTATAACTAAACCAGGAAGTAGCCTTAGCGGGAGTGAGAGCAGTTGCATCTCGAGGTGCGTAGAGCGTTACATGGAGGCTTCTGGAATCATTGCCAAAGCCCTCTTCAAGCAACATTGAGACAGTCAGACAAAAAATAAAAAATAAAAAATTGTTTTTGATAGTATGAGAGGTCTTCCCATTATGTGCTCTTTATCAAGTCGTTTACTATTGGGCTTTCTTGTTTACGAGTCTCTGGTAGTTGATACCTTCACCGAGTGACTAAAAACCTTATTGGCGTTCGCTACGTTTTGCTTGATTCCATACTGAATATACTTTTGTATTATGGATTTGGTATATGATTTTGGCATCCCTTTTGCTTGATTCTATATTGCATATACTTATTATGTATTTGCTATATGAGTTTGGCAGCATGAATATCATCGTCAACTTTGTGTTGTGTGTATTGCACAGAAATCGCACAAGAGCATTGTTTTTGTTTCACTTTAAGTGTGGTCTGTACATTTTCATGGTATGGTTTGCTGTTGCACATCATCCCACTCATCGACCATCTTCTTGCAGTGGAGGGCACTGCTGCGACCATTTTTTTTGCCCTTGCCAGATTTTTGACATGGTGCTTTTATAAATCATTACTCTAAATAACTTTTGTCGTGTGCCTTATTTATGGTGTCCACACTAGGGGTGTGTATATTTCGAAAAAGCTGGTCGAAACCGACCGAACCCAAAATTTCGGTTAATAAGAAATTTTGTGACATTAAAAAAGAATAAAGCTTAAATGCAAACACAAGATGAAGAAAAAAAATGTGTTTGGGGGTAATTTTCTCAAGTTTATAAGCAGTTTGGGAGAAATATACGTGATTATATACTCGAGAAATGCTATAGGTACATAACATTATACATAAGGTGTACATAACACTCACATTGAGTGGGACCGACCAAAAATAAAAAATCAAGCAGATCCCACTCCATGTGAGTGTTATATACACCTTTACGTACTTGTAACATTTTCCTTATATGCTCAATATTTTGTGTTCTAGGAATCCCTCACCCTAGAAAAATTAGTTTTGTCTTATCGAATGAATTATACCAGTACACTTTTGTGTTTATTAAATAAAAGCAAAAGGGAAAGTTCATTCCATGCTATTCGTCCTCTTAATTTGGATAATAACCAGCACATATATTCAATATGTATTTTTTTTTAATCAATTATTATTTGATTTATTTAAACTATGTGAATGGGAAACTAAGTATTGCTCATATGGTGTGGTTGATTATAGAAGGAATCTGTGTCATGATGCGTCAGGGTTCTCGAAATGAGCTCACAAGGATTATTATGTAAATAGTGCATGTGGACTTTATCAGGCATAATAATAAAGTTGAGTGGTATTAGTTTCGAAATAGAAAGTAATAATGAATTAAATTATAAGTAATATAATTAAGTAATGGACATTTGATGTTTTAAATATGAGAGATGGGCAAACAATAAATATAGCTCGTATATAACTTGCGTTTAGAAAAGGTTGTGGTTGATAGATCTTCAGTGAACTGAGTTACCATTCATGGGCTAAGGTGTAAAAAATTGGCAAAAGAACTCAAAATGCATAATCCTATCACGACCTAATCCTAATACATGCTCAAGTCCGTATTTTAGCCTATAAATACACCAAAAAGCGTCCAATACTCTCACTCTAGAGATTCACGCCCGCGACGCGCAAGAATGACAGATTCGTGTGACTTCTTTGAGAAAGAAGACCTAACTCTCATACTTTTCTAAGATCTCTTTATAGCCTATAAATACATAAAGGTAAGTCCAATTCATGCGCGCCGCCAAACGGGAGAAACAAAAAGTGTCGTGAGACGTCTTGAGAAAGTAAAATAATGTGTTTCCTAGAGATATAAGAGAGTCGTGAGACGTCTAGAACACAATCAGTATTCTTTTCTTTTTCCTTGAAAATGATCGAACGTGAGGAGTGCCGAGGAGTTTCGAAAGACCGTCTCTCACACGACAACTCAAATCTGGTGAAAGAATACTGACAAAATATTGTGAGGTAGACGAGGTTCTCATTTCCGATCACATTGACAGTGTATCTTCTCCAAGTTTGCGAATTTCAAACTGTATGACTTCCATTAATTTTATTTACATTCCTCACAAGCATAAAGTTGTACTTGAGTTAACACACGGTTTCTAACGATCATAACCAATTCAACAAAATCATCACAAGCTTATCAAAAACCATAAAACGCACCTAAATAAAGCCAATATGCTGATCCAATGTTTCCATTAAAGTTTGGAATAAGTTTCAAATATATAATACTAGTTCATAACAGCAACAGTCGAAAAGCAAGACTCAAACACTAAAGTTCACAAAAAACGATTTCATCAAAATATGGTGCGGCCGATAAATGGACTTCTCCATATACAAATTACACTCACTCTGAGGTGAAAAAGGATTGGGCAAAAGAAAAATGAAACATAAAGAGCAAAAAACTAAATTGAGGCCAATAAACTAGCAAAACCTATACTACTTCCTTCTTTTTAGGCTCAAGTACAGGAGGGTCGATATCAATACCCATATTAGCTGCAGTGCCTGCTATAATTCTCATAGCTGACTCCAAACTCGAACAATTCAAGTCGGGCAGTTTTTCCTGTGCAATTGTTCGGAGCTGGTCGATCGTCACCTTCCCTACTTTCTCCTGCTTAGGGTCTTTTGAACCTTTCTCCACACCTGTTGATATTGGAAAGGAAGAAAGATAAAAGCAAAAATATCCATTGGTTGCTATTAGAGTTATAGATTCGGGGGAAGGAGTGCGGTCAAATAGAGGTGAAGGGCACCATACGAGGGCAAGCCTAGTTGCCACCTTAAGGTTCCGTCCCGATTGGTGATTGGAGTGGTGCACTAGGCTTATAAACTAGGCCTATTTTCTCTATTTATTCAATGTGGGACAACTCACAAGTGATATTCCAACAGTTGCAAATCTTCACATTCAAGATAATACAAAATAACTATCTGTGGAACCTGAACTATGTAAGATTCTAGTACAAAAGGCTACACATTACAAATTCAATCTCGAAAATGTAGTCTTTGTAAATTTATTCTGACTGTGTACTACAGTGTTGGTTGAAGTTTAACTGTCGTAAGAATGGGATTTATATGAAGCAATCCACTAGGCTATATTAGTCACGTATACTCAAAAGTGGCAGAGAAATCATACTTTAAAAGGAAAAAAAATAATAATAATGATAATAATAATAATAATAATAATAAAAAAAAAAAAAAAACTGTATTACTTGATCTTGTGTAGACTTAAGAAGCATTTTTCTCAATAAGCCCAAAAGGTTAGTTTTGTATATCTGTTCTATGCCCCAAAATCATGATAAGAAAGTTTACTAGATTGGCGCTGCTTGTTATATTCAAGTGAAGCTAATTTATCGTAATCAGAGCCAAGAATATATTTACACAAGATTCAAATGTGAAAGTGCGAAATATGTTTACAGAGAGATATCTTGAGTATCATGATCAAATGAATGAAATAGTTAGATAAGCTCAGTGTGCATCAAATCAAAGTCAAAGTTCAATCTTCTTTCTTTCTTCTTTTGTGCGCGACAAGGTTACAATATGGATGTAACCAATTTTGAGAACACCGAAGTCATGGAAGAGAGCACAAAATACATAAAGCACTTTAAAACATAACAACTGTGTATAGGAATTATGCAACAAATCATATTGCTCAACCATATTTTCGAAAGAGAAAAGAAAGATAAAGCACAGAATACTTTGGGAGTAACATAGATAGAAAAATAAAGTTAAATGTAAGATCCTAGTTGTGGTCATTACATTCATCAAACTTCGGGTGACAAGTATACCAATACCAAACAATGTAGCCCAAACCAATCTCTGTTTACGTTGCTCGACTTGCTCATCTTGAACTTATTTACACTGCTAATAGATTCACTCATTGTGGGAGTTTTGACCTAAAAATTCTTATTTTATCATGAGAAACAGGAATATTTGACAACAATCATAGAAAAGAACCACCAAGATAGCTCTATACTCAACCAATATGCCGTAAAGCAGCTATATAAATTTTATGACATATCGACAGCTTGGAATTCTAAATTAGTGAACGAACAAGCAAGCAAGAAACAAACGGAGACCAGCATAAACGCATATGCTGTGTTAGTGTAACCTAATTCTCTAAGACTTGCTGTCTTGCAAGTTTGCCAGCTATCATATTTTAGAACCCTATACATTTTGCAGAGTGCCTACTATGCTGTTCCAGACCCAAATTTCTCAAGAAGAAGTAAAAGAAGCTTGGCATCAAATTCAAACGAGGCACTGGTTTTTGAAGTTTGGAAAGAGGGCAGGATTCAGGATGACATGCAGCCGCATAATTTCAAAAGGAAATATCATCTATGCTACCTGGACTCGGTTATGGGTGGCGTATCGGGTGTGGAGATATGAGCGTCCGACTCGTCAATAGTTTAGAAATCTTGAACATTTTAAGCTAAAGTGCCACTACCGACACTCATACCCACACCAGTGTCGGCACAAAGGCTTACATTATAGCTCACATTTGAATCAAAGGCTTACATTTCTCTATCAACATACATGATGCATTTATCCACCTCAAATAATTTTAGCACTTCATTTTCGAAACAAATACCCTTGACATTATTTGACACAAAAGGATCTATACAGCACTGGTAGTGTCAATATTCTTGTTTCGATTATCTTTTAGATTAGACAACAAAGCAAAAGTTATTAAATACTCAGTTTGAGTCAAAATATCGATAAATTCTCGTTTGTTATAGTCCGGTTTCCATCTGTTGCATGGTTTGAAACTATATAACAAACTAATAAATAAGTAGAAATGAGAGAGTGAGGACTGACCAGCAGCTTTCATCAGCAAAACAGAAGCAGGTGGAGTCTTCAAGATAAAAGTAAAGCTTTTATCCTGCAAAATTATCAAAAAAAACACCAAATGATCAAAATTCACCAGCAGCAAAAGCCAGAATAGCTTCGAGGGCTTATGAAACTCACATCGTAAACCGTAACTTCAACGGGAATGATGTAGCCAGCCTTATCGGCAGTGCGTGCATTGTAGTCCTTGCAGAATGCCGCTATATTCACACCCTTGGCACCCAATGCGGGCCCCACCGGTGGCGCAGGGGTAGCCTTCCCCGCGTCCAGAGCCAACTTCACTACCCCAACCACTGCAATTTTTGGGAATAAATTAAAAAAAATAAAAAAAAAAATGCAAACAAAGATCAATGTCCTGCGTGCAAGATTAACATCAAATATTCGGAAAAAATAAAAAATAAAAAATCTTAAAAAATAAAACCTTTTTTGGGTTTTCCACCAGGTTTAGGGGGAGCCATGGCAAAGACTGTAAGAGGGCGTGGTGAGGTTGTAAGGGGCAGCGTTTGCTTTCTGTTCAGGAACTGTAGAGGGAGTGTTTGGTTTGAGGATAAACTGAGAGATGAAGAGCCGAGAAACTGAGAAGAAAACGGAAGTTTTCTGGCATTCGTTATCTTCAAATCGGAAATCGAAATTGGAGTGTGGGAAGCACAAAGTGATGAAGAAGCCATTTTTCAAATCGAAAAGAGATGAGCAGAAGAGAAGAGAAGAGAAGGAGAAACGAGTGCGAACAAGTTCACCGACGAGAGGATGACGAACGTAATCCAAACAACGCTTCCAAAACGGCGTCGTAAAGGATACTATGCGTTGAGTGATGGAAATAGGGGTGACCAACTGCCGGGCCGGCCCGTTGAGTCAGCGGGCCTCAACATTATGGCCCATGACCGGCCCGAAAAAACCTATGGGCCGGTTCTATGGCCCTGAACCACCGGTTCACCGGCCCAGCGGGTCTTGGATGATTCCAGGCCGGTACGGCCCTTAAAAAACTCAAAAAAAAAGTAAAGTGACGCCCGACCCGGCTTGGTCCGACGGGTCAAAAATAAAAAGTGTATGAACCGGGACCGAATTGCAACCCTACGGGTCCGATTCAAGGAACCGACCCTTAGGAGGACGGTTCTGGGCCAGTTCGAGTCGGGCCGGGAACGGTTCACGGACCGATTCAGCCCGCGGACACATCTAGATGGAAATATTTTCTTTTGGACTATATGTTTGATCAAAGCCCAACAAAAGGTTTCCCAATTATGTGTTCATTCAAAGCAAATGAAAAGAATGAGGAATTTACATCATGTACTATCAAATATATTTTATATTACACATTTCACTTAATTGATTTTTATTTGCAAAGATGTAAATTCACCCTAAAATAATTGCACTTATACTAGAATCTATATATATATAATTGCTAGCTAATCATTTAATAAAACCTAATAAATAAAACCTATTTAATTCTACCTAATAAATTATACCTAATAAATACTACAACCTTCCATATACAAATGAACGTTACTTTTACAATTAAGGATTATTATTGTACATTTATTATTATACATTGTAACGTTTCACTCTTTTAAATGGTATTTTCATCTTTTTATTTTCTTTTATAACATCTAATAAAAACTAATTAAAATTTAAAACAATCTATCTATATATATATAATTGTTGGCATGTAGCATTTAATAAAACATTTAATAAAACCTCTAAAATTTTCCCTCCATTTACAAAATTTGTCTTTAATATTTTTCACTTCTCACATTAATACATCTTAATTAGTGTAATCATGTATGTTTCTATTGTATTATATAATAGTTATTACTAATACCAACTAACAATAATTTATAATAAATATAAATTACATAATTATAAATAATTATTTCAAGTTAT